GTAACAGCTCCTGGACCACCTAAACTGACCTCACGAGACCAGTCAAGCGAGGCTCCCAACCGACGTTCCTGGTTTAGGATGGTGCCTCCATGCTCATTTTTCCAATCCCAAACCTGTCAAACACAAGGAAGAAAGCAGAGAATATCAACAGACTAACAACCATGAAAACATCAATTTTGCAGCAATAGCAATCTCATTTGTGAGGATAAAACATCACATGCTGAACAATGATTGCTACTAAACAAAAATGAATATTATAGGGTAGAAGGAGAAGCCTATTATATGAATATTCATAAGAAAGAAAGAACTGACCTCAGAAACAAATCTCTCGCGTCCAATATCATGCCTTGTTACATTGTTCTCACGTATCAACTTTTTCTCCACAACCACCTGAGAGATGCTAGTAAGTGGCACCATTTAGCAATAAAACCCTAGAGTAGATGTATCTATAATATTTTTTACACATTTCGAAGAGGGAGTAAAAAGTATTTTGATACCTCAGTAAAGAAACAAGAGATCAGCACATTATCCATCAAATTTGAAGAAAAAAACAATTATTAGAAACACTTCTATTTTACAATTATTAGAAAATCAGACTTTTTGAATGGATCTATAATTCATATCAATATACCACAAGGTTGGCAGACAGTTACTCTACCACTCTATTTGGGAGAGATGGAGTGTGATATAGATTCTCTCCATCCATTACTAGGAGATTAGGAATCCATCATGCTAGACAATATCTCCATCCTCGATTGGGGTCCAACCTAGGCTAGATGTTTATGAGATCTAAGACCCAGACTTGTTACTTATCATGCTGATAGGGATGATTTTGCCCTATGCCAACTCATCTACCACCAAGGTCGAGCACCTAAGTGGGGTTCCAGGTCACCAGCCCTAAAATGGCACCGCCCGATGATCTCCATTGGCAATAATCACCCCACCTTATCAGGATCAAAGAATAATCAGGTAATTCACCTAATCTTATCCTAGGCCAACCGGTAAGAGAGCCTAGGGATCGGGTATAAAAAGGCTCTCTACACACAAACTCTATATACACTAACTCAATCATACAGCTCACATCGCTGCATTCTCCCCTTCACTGACTTTAGCTTCGGAGGGGCCACGCTGGGTTACCCCCTAGTACCGGCCTGTTATGTAGGATCACAAGCAGTCATGAGATAATTCTGTTGTCAAGACGCAACCACATAGCCATGAGACAACTCGTCGCCCGAGGTCACCCAGACAACCTAGCTCTAAGGAGGAACCTCGCAACCCGAAAGATCCCAGGCTGCTTGCCCGATCATCCTGAATCGGATCCTTGCTAGCAAAACGACTTCCTACTAGACCGTCAACATGGTCTCACCTCACCAAGTCTCCCACATCAGAGAAGAGACATATGGGTGAGCTTGAACCTTCGATAGTGGACCAACCATGTCGACTCACCAGTCCATGGTATCAATGATCCATCGTATGCTATGCTATTGAGAGTAGTTATTAAGATTTATTTATGAATGTTTTGATATTGATTTCGACTTATTGATATTTGTACATGATTAATGATTTTGTTACAATTCTTGTGAGAAAGTTTAGGATGTTTCTACTTAGGATTGCTGATTTATGATTTTTATCTGTTTCAGTGCAGCTTTTAAGTTCCATTAAAGAATCGACTCAAAGAGGAACATCGTCCGCCACTAGGTAGCACTGCGTGATGCCCTTAGTCTTTGCAGTTTTAGTTTTAGTATGAGATATTCCGGCTAAATTTTGTTACATGTGAGACCTTGTTATTTGAAACTTCAATTGAATAAAACTAGTTACTTCATATACTACTATGAGATGTTACATGTGGAAAGTATATCATGTTTTGTGTTGTGCATGTTTTAAAAAGAAAAAAAAATAGGCACAGAGGGTAACGATAATGGTCATTATGTGTTGGACCAGATACCAATATTTGGCAGCAAAAAGTAATGAGTGCACCATTTAAGAAAATTATGGAGAACCCAAAAAAACTAAGTTCACTAAGCATTCATCAGAAGAAACAGAAAAGAGGGGATTTACATGAATAGAACAAGCAGATTTTATTATCATAAGAGGTCACCCCCACCCCCCCCCCCCCCCCACTACTCTTAAGCTTTACTACTCTATAGGCCATCATTGAGTAAATTCAACAATTAGTTTCAAAGTTGAGCACATTAGTTTCAAAATTGGCCAAGCAAATTAGTTTCAGCTTCGACATAATCTACAAGATGCTTAAAAAGAAATCACAACCTGGGTTGCTATGCCAGCATGGTCCATTCCAGGCACCCACAGAACGTTATAGCCCGACATTCTCCGCCAACGGACAATTGTATCCTCGATTACATAACATGGCAAAACATATTAGATAAAAATACAGAATCAAAGAAACAGGTATTTGAAGCACGATCATAAGTCAATGAAACCAGGGAAGAAAATGTCTAATATACACCTGTATTGCAGTAGTAAGACCATGGCCTATATGAAGAGCACCAGTTACACTTGGAGGTGGAAGTATCTGCAGAAGAAATAGATGAAGAATACAAAGGTAAGTTACACTAATCAAATGATGTTTCTAAGTAACTCAAGGTTCAAACGCATGGACTGCATGCTGATGTTTCCATATAAAGTCATGTAAACTCTTTATTGCACGTTCCTGGACAATGACTAGTATGGTTTAGTACATGTAGTTTGCATCCAACAAACATCAGCACATGGCAACATCTAATAAGCAAAAAGATAAGAGTATATGCAAAAGCTCACAGGCATTTTTCCTTGATATTGCATGCAACTATCCAGTAATGATAGGGGTAATGATGGCGACATGACGTGTCACGACGACGACCCCACCTGGGCGCCGCTATGCCCAATGAGGAAGGCAATAACGCTGACTCGACACGCGCTGACGTCGTCCGCTATCAGGCGACGACTTCCAACCCCGCGCGCTTGACCACGATAGGGGAGGACAACGACCGACCCTCGCCCATACCCTGCTGTCACG